AATGGGACAAGGGAGTATAGCGGGGCAATACAATCGTTTCTTGTTTGCTTGGAGACAGACATAGTTTGTCGCAAATCCAAGGTCAATCTAGATTCAGCATCTGCCTTTTAGGGCCGTTATATTAGACTACAAACCCAGATTTCCCTCTTTTGGCCGCTATTAAAGAAAGGCCACACATTTGCAATAAACTACGTTCCTCAGGCAGACGGGACGGGGGAAATCTCTCAGACCAATGCTATAGCATTTGCGTCTCGATCAGCATCACAGGTATTAATCCAGCGGTGTCTATATGCTTTAACCACAAAGAGACGTATACAAGTCGTATACAGCTTGCATACCTACAAACCCATTATTATTAGCAAAGAATGGCGGGCCAGTAAAAAAGCAAGCTTGTGATACACAAGACAAAAATTACATGGGCTTCGCACTCGTCCCAAGGATGCTGTCCAGGCCACGCGGGCTCCAGTGGGTTCACTTCGATTCTCACGCCGGGAACTAGCCAGAACACGTCATGCATTTGCTCTGACAAGCATTTTGAGAGACCACAGCCAGAAGCGCGCTATGCAAACATGAATTCCATCGCTAGGATGTGTGTTAATTTGGTAATATGTATAGTCAAGCAAGCATTCATAGTAAGGAGCTGACGAAAATAAACTTGAGACGTTGGACGGACCCCTCTCTCCCGTCGTGCTTAAATAGCATGTCATAGAGGGCCAGGCACCAGATTTGAAAAGCTACGACAAGGTAGAGGCTGGACCCCCAGCTGCATACCGCCAATCCCTGCTATGGGGTGCGTCCCTGGTGTGATTGGCAAGCCTAGAAGCATAGTATAGAGAAGCTGAGGAAACCAAAATGAAATTAATTCTAATCTAACTAATCATAACATTTTTGTTTGGCGTGATAGTGAAAGATAAGGCGTGAAATTATGAAGATTTTCGAAACTGTACGTGTGCAATTTGATGCTATCCAGATTTGAATTCATGAGGACGCTGTCCACGTGGAACACCTATAGAGTCGCATATAAAGTTGGATTATCTAATTTTTCCCAGTCATCTATGCGGGAATGTATTTGTCATCTTTAACTCTGAAGCTCATTGTGGGTGGGACTGTTCTAGGGATAGGCTCTATGGCTTCAATTCTGGGAAATGGGCATCATTAATAACGCACATTGGCAAAACTTGTGGCCTGTAAAATTTTTTATAGAGTCAATGTCTAAGTTTTAAATAGCTCGCAACATCAAACCAATACAAATCAACACTTCTGGTCGCGGGTCTGGGGGGACACAACAGAACTGGCAGGGTGAAAAGCTATGTTTGACAAACACCCAGTATCTGCTGATTAAGAACCCCCGACTAAGGAGAAACCGCGGGCCCCAAAACGAGGCTCGGACGTCTCCCATTCCTATTGAGTGAGTGGAATAAGACAGGTGTAAATAATGTCGTAATTGTCCTGTGGGAAAACATAGGGGGCCAGAATTTCTGAATCCAATTCTGGAAACAATACTTGCACAAACAATGAAGGGCAGTTGCTACATGAACAAGAGCTGTTAGTCTCCTTCAGATGTCACCGTCCTTTTCTTGCCAAAAACAACTTTATCGGATACAAATAATAACGCATCATACAACTTCTGGGAAAAGTGGATGCAGGCGAGATGGCTGTATACATCAAGTGGGACAACGTGGGCAGTGGAAGCAACACAACACAATCGTCCAAAAAAAAGCCACAGACACCTGACATGATCTCCACTGTTGCCACAGCCCAAGCGTTTCTAATCACCCGAATATAAATGAAATCTTGATTCTAATTGTCCCAACTCGCTATCCCATTTCATATTGTTTGAATGATTCTCTGTATACTATAATTCTTGGACCTCGTGTCGATAGAATAATGTCAAGTGGGCAGGGTCCAGATGGCAGGTATGGTAAGGACAGGGCCAAAGAATCTAACTCCAGGGTTCCACATGAAGAAGTACAGGAATGCACCACCATTATATGTCCGTAGAACCCGACCTTGTTTTCTTGGGATCCAGTCTCACTCCAGATATAAGACTGCATGACTGGACCATGGCAATCTCTGCTCCTCATCGAAAGGCCAGGCAGGATTCTTCCGCATCGATACACCCGGGCACCGAACTTCTGTAAATTTGCCCCCCTGGGAAAAGATCACCTGTAGACCATCACGTGCCCGGGAGAATCGCTATCACTGGTGAAGAATTGACAAGTCATAGGAGTTTAGTCAATAAGTCTCTTACCGGCAGCAAGGTTGACAGGTGGGTTTTAAGGAGACATTTACAAAAGAATGCCGAGCAGTGACTGTGTCTGTCCACTTCTTGTGACCTTTACACGTTAGTGAAGTGGCAGATACACCTCGAGGAGTCCGGCCAAGAAAACTCCAACGCAGGGTGATGTGGCTGCCTCAGAGAGCAAAGACAGGGCGTACTCTTGAAGAATTGATGGTAGAGAATGTGTGGGCGGTCCAGTGCTCCGACCCCAGGGCCATTCAGGAATTGGTAGGCGACCTTCGCACTCCTTATGGGAAAGGCATCAGGCTTCTGCGAAGCACCATAGTCCCCAGGATAGTCCTAGGCCAGCGGCCTAGTGAAGAATCGTACATGGATTCAAACTCGCACATCCAGTGTAGGTTCCCATGCTGGAAATATTGTCGCATCAACTCTCACGGGGGGGGCGCCCAGGTAATAGACATGTCGGCTACCAGCCGTCCATGGGGAGGGAGGGCCTTGCGGTCGCTCATGGTCTGGGTCCCCATGCTCTCTCCGTGGGAGGCCCCTACCCCTACGACACCATACTGGTCAGGCCCCGCACCATGGGAATGTAGGAATGGCCTCTCCTATCAAATGGTGCATGTTCTCAGTCCGCCGCATCGACGCCACGTGCCTTACACAGAGGCTGAGCAACACATCCCTGGTCCGCGCTGGGGGCGGGGGGGGGGGGGGGGGGGGGCCCCCGGGGGGGGGGGGGGGGGGGGGGGGGGGGGGGGTGGGGGGGTTGTGGGGGTTTATGCCCCCAGGGGGGCGGGGGAGCCCTTCTCCAGCTTCCACGTGCCCTTCCTTCCTCCCCGGCCTGCGACCCCCACGCCCACCACCGAGACCTCTGGCCTCCTCACCCTTGTCGGCAGTCCTGTCGTGGTTTAGCTCGCGAGGTCCAAGGCAGCGCATAATAGATCATCACAGATTATGCTATTCTCTTTTTTAATTATTGGGTAGGCCTGTGTTATTCTCCGCTGCTTCACTATAGGCTCCGTAACTTCAAAAGAGGTTGACGAAGCCCTCATAAGCTTCAAACACTCTTTCTATATCCTTTAGTTTATATTTTGCAACCATATCGTCTTACTATGTGAAAGATTAAATTTTGTTTTCCCACTGGTGTCTGAAATCCCGTGGTTACATCTAATCTGGGTTGGACTTGCCAATCTTTTGAGGCGATATTAGTTTCTATCTGGTAAAGCCATTCCAAAATAACAGCTGCTCTAAAAGGCTTGATGACTTCATCTGACCTTGTGAGGGTGGTCTTCCATACTTGTGTCGGTGGCATCCGCCACTTGGTCAGCCACACTCCTGGTCATAAAAAAACAATTGGGTCCTCAGACTCCCAGCCACGTTGAACTCACGAGGGGGCAGAAGACAGCGGAGGGTTGGAAAGATTTTTCCCCCACATCATGGGCTTCATCATACAAGGGCTATGAGGGTAGGGCATATTGGGCCAAATCTGTGCAAGAATCAGCAAACATCAGCATTATACCGACAGCTTGTCTATCAATAGCTAAAACAACTCTTCACTCCAAGGTTTTACTGGCTATGCTGCCA